TGTGGTACGGCGGCTGATTACAGTAACGACATCACAATCTCACACTCTTCAGTTTACGCCACGAGAGGGGTCTGCTATATGAGACACTATGATTCAAGTCCCCGCCTAGCAAACACGTTACTTTATATTTAATTAATTTCGAAGATATTGTAACCACATCTACATCTACTACGCCACTTTTAAAGTTGCATACCGAGTTTAAATTCAGTCGTCCAAAGTACAAGCCTCACCAACCGCCATATTTTTTTCCTCCAGTTCTGGCAAAATTTTCTCTCTTTCTATGTGTGTAAAAATAATTTTTATTTACTTTTTTATAAATTTTCTTAGATACAAACCTTGTCCATGTCCATAAGGAACACGTAAAAAAAGAATCATTCAATTTGGTGCAGTCTTTCGGAAGTTATGCGCGTACTTAAATGGCGGTGATTAAATTTTATGTATTTATAAATAATAATTAAGCTTCGTATAGTAAAGACGGGAGGTACTTACTAGCCAATTTGTTTGTTTTTCGTGGCAACACTCTTCCAGGCCAAGTCGTTTTTTGGCGTCGTGAATATTGGGGCGCGTTAAGTTTATACAAACAGGTATATTTTCGACTTCTTCAACAAATTCAATTGTGCTTTGGTCTTCATTTTGAAATTATATTTTATATATTTTTTTATATACTCTTTATTGCACAAAAAACAAAGTCAACATTACAATTGTATGTAAATCACAAGCAAGGGTGGGCTTATCTCTATAAGAGATCTCTTCCAGCCAACCAGGCGGTGTGGGAGATCAAGCAGTAACGGGAGACTGACAAGTGCATAATTGTTAAATTTGATGTGAATGAATATTAACATTAATACATATAGGCATGATATAAAAAAAAAAAACAATAAAAAAAAATAAGAATACATAAATAAACAATATTATATAATACATATAATATACATATATAAATAAAAATAATAATGATTACAAAAAACTATGAATACTAACATTGTGCTAGAAAGTGCTCCTTGAGTTTAGTTTTGAAAGATATGATAGAGGGGCAGTCTCGAATATCTAATGGGAGTTTGTTCCATAGTCTAACAGCCCGTACAGAAAAGGAGTTGAAGAGAAAATTGGTGTTACTTTTAGGCAGCTCCAAAGTTTTGGTAACACAGTACCGCCGGGGACGGGATGGGGGAGGAAGCTTCTGGAAACGGGAATTCAGGTATGCGGGTGAGTTAGGATCTTTAAGAATTTTGAAAAGGAATGAAAGGATGTGCATATCACGGCGAAGACGGATAGGAAGCCAGTTAAGTTGAGCTCGAAAAGCTGAGACATGATCGTATTTACGCAGTCCAAAAATGAACCGAATTGCGAGGTTTTGAAGGCGCTCTAGCTTATTTAGTTGATCTTCATTCACATCCAAGTAGCAAATATCAGCGTAGTCAAGAATAGGAAGCAGGAGTGATTGCGCTAGCATAATTTTGGTTTTAAGGGGAAGAAAGTATTGAAGTCGTTTGAGAGAGCGGAAAGAATAGTGCATCCGTTTGCTAACGTCAGCCATTTGCGGGGACCATGAAAGAGAACTATCCATAGTCAATCCAAGATTTTTTACTTTGTCTGTGAATGGAATCGGTATACTGTTATATACGACTGGAGGTATACAAGTCCAGTTAAATTTGCTGCGGAGTCTGCTACTGCCGACAATCATAGCCTGGCATTTATTTGGATTGACCATAAGACCAAATGAAACCGCCCATTTCTGAATAGAAGCAAGATCTCTATTTAAAGCATCAATGGTATCCAGAGCATCGTCGATAGAGAAGTGCCTATAGATTTGAAGGTCATCTGCGTAAAGATGAAAAGGAGAAGAAATAACGGTAGAGATATTATTAATAAAAATAGAAAAAAGTAAAGGTGAGAGAACACCACCTTGTGGTACACCGGCTGACAAATTTAGCCAGTCAGAAGAAGAAGAATTGAAAACTACGCACTGAGAGCGTTCAAAAAGATATGATCGGAACCAATCAATAGCAGAGGCGGAAATGTTAAGCGAGCGGAGAGTACTAAGCAAAATGTCAAAGTCAACACAATTGAAGGCACTGCTAAAATCCAGTAGAACCAAGGCTGTAAGTTTCGTATTATCCATAGCATGGCGAATATCTTCAGTTATGTTATTGATATCATTTATCATTTATCTAAAATAAAATGATATCTCGAATATAGTCGTATAGTTCATAACGGCGTCGAAATTTGAAAATAGCATAGGATGATATAGGCTACTATTTAATGTTATATTTTATTTAGTAGTAATGTAAAAATGTACTGAATAGGTGTTTTAAAATAGTCCTTTCTGTTAATAGGCGCAGGCGTAAATGTCAGTCTACAGCCGCTTCAAGCCGAAAAATCAGGAGAATAGTCGTGTACGAGGGCGTGCACACGTAGGATGCCGTGGAAGATTCAAAGCTTAGGACGTCATGTGACCAACTTATATAAATGTAACTGCTATTTTGACCACCCGAATGCCAGCCTCCAGCTGAAGAGAATATTAACACCGGTTCATATTTGTCTTTCATTTTATTTAATCCTCGCGATTTGCGATTGAGTTTTAAAGTATTCGTCGAACATAACCGTCTAATTACCGTTGTCGTGATGACTAAAATGTTGTGTAGGAGGTTGCCTATCTTCAAATCTCATACCCATTTGCCTTTTCAAATTTCCAAGGGATGATGAATTAAGAAACTTGTGGTTTAGTTTTGTAGTTCCTACGAACATCAAACTTAAAAGCTTAAGCAAAGAGCAATTATTGACTAAATATGTTTGTCAAAACCACTTTAACCGACATCATTTTGACAATACGGGTATTCCCCTTCGTCGAGGTTAACCTTGTTTAATAACTGAGAAGGAGATGTTATTCGGAATTAAATAGAAGGTTATCAGAGCCCACAATACCATCACTCGAGCCTACCACAAGTTGTTTGAATGAATTTTTTATACGAGTACTACACGATACGCACTGAAAAAAAAATGAAGCAAGAAATAGAACAACTTCGATGGAAAGCAAAAAAGATGGATTAAAAATCAGAAGACTTCAAATGAAAGTTAAACATTTAAAAAAGGTACCTACACATCTAGTAGCATACAATTTGTCTGCTCGCAAGTTCAAGTTTCAGGCAAGGTGCAATAGAAGCTTCCCTCGTCTCTATTTATCTCGCCGCATTCGTCCGCAGCCGAGTGTAGTCCTTAATAATATTATGACGCACCTAAGATGTTACTCGTACTTACAGACGCGCGTGCAGTACTTTCATCTCTCGAACTACCTTTAGATGTTTTTTTTGTAAATCCAGGATGTTTTCAGTTTAATTTTGTCCGAATGAATGTGATTTGAATATCAAGTTAAAAGACTTGGTTGGGCCTCAGTTATCAGAAATTTAAAAAGTTGCTTTGAAGAAAAATTATTCTCCAGCCCTCAGATCATTAACTTTAACGCTTTATTATCTTTCCACAAATGCGGACTCATAAGTCAGAAAAACTTACGATACATGTCTACCAATTAAACCAATTAAGGCAATCAGGCAAACGTGCTTTGTACAGTCTTATGATGGATAATATGGCTATTAAGAAGTTCCGTCCCATTAAAGGAACGGAAACCAATATCACGGTTATATTGGTGACACTGAATGATGTGCAAAAGGATAATTTGGATCACGTATCTCAGGCATTAGTTCTGTTGCTTTTATCTGAACTGAACGGTGGAAATTACTTATAGGATTCTTTCTGATTAATTCTGTGACCGGGGAACAATGGTGTTTGATCATTCAACAATGCCATTACAAATGTCGAGAAAATGGCGTAGACGTTGTTTTACTTACAGTGGATGGTTGCGCTGCAAATATGGCTATGCTTTAAAAGTTAAGATGCTCGTTAGAACCTCAGAGCATGCGGACTACCTACATCCCAGTGCTTACTACGAAGTAGCAGTATTCCTCGACGCATGCCATATGCTTAAGCTAGTGCGCAATACATTTGAGAATAAAATGACTTTTCTTGATTATCAGTGCAATAATATAAAATGGTCTTATCTTGTCAAGCTCAAGAACCTACAAAAGTCTGAAGGCCTCCATTTTGGAAACATGTTAAAAGAGAAGCACATAAATTTTCATCGACAAAATTGAAAGTAAAATTAGCAAGGCAGCTTTTCAGTAATAGTGTTGCCAGCGCACTTCACGTTTGTAAAGAATTTAAATTTGTATATAAAAATGCGGCGGCAACAATTATTTTTATCCGCTTAATTAATAATAACTTTGACATTTCGAACTCTCGAAACATTTGTCAACTAGAATCCAAAAAACCCTTATTTGAAAACTAAAGAGTATTTAGAATATGCAATTTAGAATATTCATAGGTCTTTTGACATGTATCAGCAGCACGATTTTCTTGTACCGCCTCATTGAAGAAGAAAAAATACTAAAATATCTTACACTGTACAAATTTTCGCAAGATCATTTGGAACTCTTTTTGGGGTAATAAGGGTTGTGACACACAGGCGGGTAAAAAAGGTCAATCGAAATACATGGTTAAAAAATATATATTTTAATTAAATACACCCTGGTACGGAAATTCTGAATACGTCCCTGAGTATTTTACTCTTGCGACATCTAGTATGAAGTAGCTGAACTAATAAGTAACATCGATATGAATGAATGAAAGGGAGTAATTTTTCTATTGACCGGTAGATGGAGATTAAAGAAGTGGGGTGAGACTTAGGCTCCCTCATCCCGCAAAATGTTACGGAATGTTATATAGGCAAATCTCATTAGGCTATCTGCTCTTTGTATTAGCTCCGTGCTTTGGCCACTTGGCAGAATTTGACTTCGCGCTTCAAGTCAATAGATTACGGCTTAAATGTTTCAATGAATAGCGACAGTTAAATTAATGCTTTATTATTTATATATTTATTAATACTCAATAATACATCAGTACACAGTATACTTCTTTAACACCATACTTTAGTGTCATATTTTAAAATGAAGACAGAATTACTTTTTGGATTTTGTTCTGCTACAGCATGTGTGATAATGCACTTGACGCATGAAGGTTACCCTGACTTCAAACATGCAAAGATATACTGTTTGATCAAAGCAAAGGTTGCAACTATTGTCACTCTTCTTAACCACTTTTTTAAGAGCTTATTATTATCTACCTGTTAACAACATCCAAATATGTTTGATTATAGTGAGCAATAGGAGGGCTTAACTAATTGCTTTCTATATTGTTAATTATTAGTATTGGAGCGATATAAAAAGCAACATGAAAAGGAAAAGAGCAGCTATGCGTCAGTATGGAAGTGGTACAGATGGTGGACCTTCATGGGAAGGTAGTTTGACACCTATCGAGGAAAGAATATTAAGCCTCATAGGAGTTCAAAATGTATTTGGGAATCCTAAAGTCCAGCTTGAAGTCGATGTATGTTTCTACTACAGATTTATTAATTTATTTTATCAGCATTCATTTCAGTTTGAATGTTAATAAAATAAAAAATTATCCTAAAATAAAAAACAACAAAAAATCAATGACAAACGAAATATTGGGTTAGTAAGTGTCGAAAAAATTTTAACTAGGGTAGACTGGGTACGGTTGAAGCAAAGGACGGTTGAAACAAAACGAATATCTCGCAAACCGTTGACGGGGCGGTGAGGGGTCCAAGGGGAGAACGAAGCGGACGACAGGTCTAAACACGAATCTTAGTGTTGCGTCACTCTCCGCGCGCTTTGGCTGTTTCTAGGGCTGTTTCTTTTAAAATACTTACTTTTGGTTATCAAAACACAATAGGGTGTTTTGATAACCAAAAGTAAGTATTTTTGCTTGGAGATTTTTCCAATTATTGTAGTTTTTATTCAAGTGACAGCATTGAGGGTGCGTTGTTGTTTGAAATGAAGCTCGCGGAATATGACATTGTGACTAGTTTTTGTGTATCATTATTGTTACAATGACTAATAACTGAATTTTACCTGAAGTAGGAGTTGGGGACGGTTGAAACATTTTTTTTGGGTACGGTTGAAACAGTGTGCTTATTACTTTTTTCTTGTTTTTTTAGATGCCTAGAGTACGCGTAAGAAAGACATCGAGAGGGCAAATAGACTTGTCGAAGTACAAAGACGCATATGAGGAGGTGAAAACCGGAGGATCATTGCGAAAAGCGGCAGCGAAGCACGGATTAAACCATTGTTCGCTTCTAAGATATATTCGAAAGCGAGATGTCTCTGGCGAGCAAGAAAATCCAGACATGGGATATAAAGCACACAACCGAGTTTTTAATGAGGTGCAAGAGCGAGAGCTTTCAAAGTACTTGATTCGATGTGCTGATATATATTTTGGACTACCTAAGAAGGAGGTAAGAAAACTGGCGTATGAACTTGCAGTTAAATATAATTTATCAAGACCTAAAACTTGGGATGGTAACGAGCTGGCAGGTGAGGAATGGTTTCGGATGTTTATGAGAAGAAACCCCGAACTGTCTCTACGCGCAGCACAAGCTACTAGCCTCTCCAGGGCGACTAGTTTTAACAAAACAAATGTAAATTCTTTCTATGACAATTTGACCACTGTCATGGATCGTCATAAATTTGAGCCTCAAGATATATGTAACGTTGATGAAACAGGCATAACCACTGTTCAAAAGCCCGACAGAGTAGTGGCTAGGCGTGGTGCTCATCAAGTAGGTTCAGTAACTTCGGCGGAAAGGGGTACATTGGTCACAGTCGCCTTTGCAGCGAATGCCATTGGAAATGTTATTCCGCCATTCTTCGTCTTCCCGAGAGTGCGTTATCAAGAACATTCTATTAGAGATGGGCCCCCTGGCTCCGCTGGAGCTGCTAACCCCTCCGGCTGGATGCAAGATGAAACATTTATGCATTTTCTGGAACACTTTAAAAAACATACAAATGTATCTCTGTCTCATAAGGTGTTATTTCTGCTCGACAATCACTCTTCACACGTCCACATTAACGCAACTTTTGCAAGAACAATGGCATTATCTTACTATCTTTCCCACCCCACTGCTCGCACAGACTCCAGCCACTTGATCGATCGGCATATGGCCCTTTGAAGAAAGCTGTCAATTCAGCCTGCGATGCATGGATGCGAAACCATCCAGGAAGCACAATGTCCATTTACGATATACCAGGGATTGTAGCGTCTGCTATGCCAGTTGCTCTTACAGCTTCAAATATTCAAGCCGGCTTTCGCAATTTATTTATTTATTTACTCTCTTGGATGACCAACAGCTAACAATACAAATTAAAATTTCATTCCAAAAACAGATAGCCAATTACAGGTCTTCGCTTATAGATTTGGCATAAAAGTAAGAAATATATATATATACATACATATATATACTTACATACATAAAACATGCATCGCTTACACTTACAGTAATGTTACAATAAGTACGCTGCTTACGGAGTAATATATTAATAATAAATACATATATAAAGTATAATGATAATGACACATATACCTATATCCTAATCAGAAAAATTAGTTATTTAAAAAGAATAAGTTACCAAGAACACGCTTAATCGACGCCTCGCTAGTGTTAAAAAGGTCAATATTTACTCGCTTTGTTAGTTCGTTGAATCCATTACACGCTCGCCAAATGAATGAATTCTGCCGAAAGTTTGAAGACGCAGGGGGTAGATATAACAGGGGGTTAAACCTGAGTTGTTTTTGTGGGGCTCTAAGAGTAATCTTTGACAAGAGTTCAGAACAATCCACAGCACCACTAGCAATTTTTGCAAGAAAAACCAAATCTGCAATTTCTCGCCGATTCACTAAAGGGAGAAAGTGATGCATCCTGCAAAGTTCCTCGTAGCGGCCTGAGTCATAGCGATGTTTGGTGCGGAAGCAGAGGTACTTAATGAATCTCATTTGAATTTTCTCGATCCGCAATATATACGTCTGTTATCCAGGGTTCCAGATCTGCGACGCGCACTCCAGGTGACTTCGGACGAATGTGCAATAAAGAATTTTTAGAGTCTTAGTCTGTGTGAAGTCTTTGGAGTTACGCATAACAAATCCAAGAGCTCTGGAGGCCTTTGAGATGATGTTATCGATATGGGCATCGAAAAGCAACTTATGGTCATGAAACACGCCAAGATCTCTCACAACCGTATCTCGTTTCAGCCTTGAATTTCTCACCACATAATCAAACAAAATCAGATTCCGCTTCCGACTATACGTGACAACATTACATTTGGCTGCATTTAAGTCTAAACAATTACTTGAACAGTAGTTGTCAAGTCTCACAAGATCATTTTGCAGTGAAAGCGCGTCTTCTAACGACGAAATAGGCGCAAATATTTTCATATCATCCGCAAAACATAATAGTTGTGAAAATTGAAAACACCTCGCAATATCATTTACGAACACAGCAAACAGGAGTGGCGCAAGTAAGGAGCCCTGAGGAACTCCACTGGGAACCGTAAGCCAACCAGAAATATAATTTTTCACCACGACCGCCTGTGAGCGATTATTAATGTATGATGATAGCCATCGCAACAAATCGCCACCCACACCAATCATTAACAGTTTGTGTAAAAGCATGTCATGCCGAATTCGGTCAAATGCCTTACTGTAATCAGTGTAGATTACGTCGACCTGAAAGCCATTATCCATGGCAATAGTAAGGGACTCATTGAGCAAGACCAAATTAGACACAACAGAGCGGCCTCTAAGGAAACCATGTTGTGTTGGGCTAAACGATTGCTTCAATGCAGAATAAAGCTGCTCGTAAATAACTTTTTCCAGTACCTTGGATACAATACAAAGCTTAGAGATGGGACGGTAGTTAGTAATATCTGATCTAGATCCTTTTTTATGCACTGGTGTAATATATGCTTGCTTCCATACACTCGGAACAATGCCCTCCGTCAAAGATCTATTGAAAAGAATAGCAATTGGAATAGCAATGGTTTTAGCGCAATTTATGAGGAAGATAGCTGGCAACAAGTCTGGTCCAGCAGACTTTGCCGGGTCTAGCTTCGAAAGCAGCCTGGTCAGTTCGTCAATGTTAATCATAATTTTATTAATGTTTGTAATAGTAGTAGGAAGAGAAGAGGCCAAACTTAAATTGTTTAGAGAAGTTGGAGACTGCAAAAAGTTAGAGTAGAAAAACTCAGAAAAAGCGTTGCATATCGATTGTCCAGTATTAAGTACAGTATCACCGTAGTTCAAGTTATTGGGTAAGTCATTAATATTAGTCTTGGATTTAATAAACGACCAGAAAGTTTTTGGGTTATCCTTTAGCGAATTTTCAACTGTGTTTATATAATCACTATAGCACAGTTTTTCTAATGTTTTACATCGATCCCTTAGAATTTTATAAGATTGTTCATCGGTACGGTTACCATATATTTTGAATTTCTTCAAGTATTTGTACTTTTCCCTAATTGATCTTTTCAAAGCCGGCGAGTACCATTTGGGGTATTTGTTAGTAGTAATAGTTTGGCGAGGTATATATTGGTCTCTTAATGTAATAAATTTATTGTAGAAATACTCTACTGCTGCTTCGAGGGGTTTAGATATTAATTCATGATGCCAGTCTATTTTTTTAATTTCTGAGTTGATAGCATTATAATCGCCTTTATTAAAAAGATACCTAGTGCGAGGTGCATCATTTAAGGGCACAAAATCCGCAAAATCTAAATCGAAGGACAAAGCTCCATGGTGTATATCGATCGGCACCAGCGGATCGCCACTGCAATCCGTTACCAGGACATTGTCATTAGACAATATAAGGTCTAGAGTCCTCCCATAAGTATTTTTAATACTATTATATTGTCTTAAACCAAGAGTATTAATCTCATCGACAAGTGAAATCTCATCACTAGTATTAAAGTTTGAAGGATCACAGTGAGAACCATCAACACCATTCCTTACCCAATCTATGTTACTCAAATTAAAGTCTCCTGCTATCAAATATTTATCATATGGGTATCTCATGACTACATCATTTAAGCTATCAAGAAAGTTTGACAATTGTTGGGTAAAGGTAAAGCCTCCATTTTCGTTACACAAATAAAGCGCACAAATATGTAATTTCAAAGGTCGCTGAGTACCACGTAGTTTTAGAGTTAATGTTAACCACAAATCCTCGGCACTAGAGTGAAACCCAGGTTGAGACATAACTATCATATCCCTGTGCACAGCT